ATTTTAGTAGAGACAGGGTTTCACCATGTTGACCAGGATGGTCTCGATCTCTTGACCTCGTGATCCACCCGCCTCGGCCTCCCAAAGTGCTGGGATTACAGGCTTGAGCCACCACGCCTGGCCTATGGATGAATTTTTAAACAATAAAGTTGAGTAAAGGAAAAAGAACATATATTTACATCTATATGTTTTCAAAAATATATAAAACCTACCAACTTAAAAAGATGTAAAACTATAAAGAAAAACAAGAGTAAGGTAACACAAAATGTAGGTAGGGCAGTGGTTCCCTATAACACTGGGGTGTCTGACAGGAGGGATCCACGAGCAGATATGTAAGGGCCTTTTGCTATGTGGGTCATGTTCCATTTCTAAGGGTGGATGACCAGTATGTCATTACTCAGCACCATCCTCTAAACTAAACATATACGTTTGATATATTCTTTTGTAAGTACATCAAATTTCATATTTAAAATTTTTTTATCCTTGGATTAAATCATATTTTCTTATAATGATTTTCTAAATTTTATAATACCAAGCATTATTTATAAAATAAAAAGTCAATTAACTATTGAGGCAAAAAATGTTTCCTTATATGAGACTAACACTTATTAAATATTATGTGATATACAAATGGACAGAATTCATCCAATATTTTTCAGCATAAGTATCCTGTATGTATGCTATGCAACAGTTATTGTCATCAAGGTAAAATGCAAAAAAAAAAAAAAAACTGTCAGAAATTTCATTTAGAACATACTTTAGATAAGGCTTCAAGAACATTTTTTAATGTTCATTAAAGCTTTATTTTTTAACATACACCCCATACAACGTCCTCATTTTTCAAATATCTCCGTGACAGTAATTTTTAATTTTGTTTTTCAGTTCTTTGTGATAAAAATTCATTTGGTATTTTACTTAATTTAAAACCTAGGAACATAGATTTGGGGAATAGGGAATATAGAAAGCTTTTCCTCCCTCTTCCACTTCCCAGTTCAATGTTAACCTTGGTGCCTAAAATCTCTGGCATTTATACCCTGAAATATTTATATAACTGCTTTCAGACTTTGCCAAAAACACCCATTTCTGATATCTGAGTATCATAATGATTTCAGGTGTGAATGTTGAGTGATTAGAATTCTCCATTCTAAGAGACCAGCTTACACAGCCGCAACCTCAAATGGTCCAATGTAATGGCAAATAAAGATTCCTTATGCACCAAGATAAAAAGTTGGTATCGCAAATATCATTATATGAGAGTTGTGAGATTGTCGAGAAAAAAAAAGTATGACTTGATGAAACATAATCACAATCTTGTGAGGTCTCTTCACAAAGCCAGTGCCCCTCGGTCCACATTCCTTCCAGTTCTAGCTAGTCTGGAGGAGGCAGGACCTACTTAGGAGGTAACAAAGAAGGTCTTACCTACATTAGTCATCCAGACAACCAATTTTTCAGCTAGGCTACAAACCGAAGAAGAATGCCTGAAACTGAACCTATAAGAGAATAAAACACAAAGTTATTAAGCAGAACAGTGAAAGATAATATTGTTTAAAATGTTTGACATAAAAACACAGTCTAAATAAAAGTCACCTGTTTTCCTCTTGTTCTACTTGCAACTTCTGGGGTGCTAAAAGGCAACAAAATGAAACATTTTGATAGTCATCCTGGTAAACATATAACATGTAGAAGACATTTGAAAATAAGAATCCATTAGCAAAGAACATCTAAAAAAAGTAAATAAGCAGTACTGTGGCAGGCTGAAAGTACAGTCAGCCCTCAGAATACTCAGGGAACTGGCTAAGATACCCCATGTGTACCCAAATCTGTGCATGCTCAAGTCCTGTAATTGGCCCCGTGGAACCTGCATATGGATTTCACATCCAGAGAATACTACATTTTCTATCTGCATTTGGTTGAAAAAAAATTCATTGTAAGTGGACCCACACAGTTCAAATCCATGTTTTTCAAGAGTCAATGGTATAATAATTTCCTCAAGACTAAAATAGTCCTTTTTACCCACACTGAAAATACAAGATTTGTTAGATTTTAAGTAATCCTGATACCTGAAAAGTCAGTTGTGGACTATACATCAGAAGAGTACTAAAAAGGTAAGACATGGCTGCTAAAGCAAACAAGAAAAAATTTTTTTTCTGTTTTTTCAGTTGTGATACTGACATTTACAAAAAGTTGTTTCCAGAGACCTAACATTACACCAACTTACCTATAGTTATTCTGGTTAAATATTGTGAGGATTCATCAGAAACAGAGCTCTCATCACCAAGTATATACAGTGCAATACTCTGCAAAAGAAGAAAATAAACATTATTTTTCACTTTTCAGAGACAACATCTCACTTTGTCACCTAGGCTGGAGTGCAGTGGTGCAATCACAGCTCACTGTAGCCTCAAACTCCTTGGCTTAAGCAATCCTCCTGCCTCAGCCTCCAAAGTAGCTAGGACTACAGGCATGCATCACCACATCCAGTTAATTCTTTTATATTATTATTTTTATTTTTTTGTAGAAACAGAGTCTCATTGTGTTGCCCAGGCTGGACTCAAATTCATGACCTCAAGCAATCCTCCTGCCTCAGCCTCCCAAAGTGCTGGGATTACAGGTATGAGCCACCACACCCAGCTACATAATTGAAGTACAACTAGAAAATAAATATAACATAGACTAATTCATCCATCTTAGGTGTACAGTTCTATCAGTTTCAAAAAACGTTATATCACATAACCACTACCACGCTTACAATATAGAATATTTTCATCACACCAAAAAGTTCCCTTCTTCTCTTTGTAGTCAGTCTTTTCCTCCTGGAAACAACTCATCTGCTTTCTTGCTCTACTGTTTTGTCTATCCTACAATATCATGTAAACGAATCGTATGATATGTAGTCTTTTTTTGTAGTATTTCTTTAACTTAGCATAATGTCTCTGAGATTCATCCCCATCTCTCCAAGGATCACTAGTTTATTCCTTTTTATGCTGAGTAGTAGTCCATTAAACAGATGTACCAAACGACATACTCAAAAACTGGTGAACATTTGGTTCCAGTTTGTGGCCATTATGACCAAACTTGCCCTAAACATTCACACACATGTGGGTCTTTGTGCAGGTTATGTTTTCATTTCTCTTAAGTAAAATACCAAGGAGTTAGGATTTCTTTGTCTTATGGTAAATGCATTTAACTTCACAAGAAACTGCCAAACAGTTTTCCAAAGTGCTGTGCCATTTTTGCAGTCCCCCCAGTAATGTATGAGAGTTTCGATTGCTCCATATCCTCACCAAAACTTATCTTTCAGTCATCCAACAGGTATCGAATAGTGCTCTCTCACTACCTAGGAAGTATGTAGTGGTATAGAGCTGTAGTGGTATTTGCTTTGAGGAGGAAAAGAAAAAGAAAAGACAAAGGAAAAACTCTCTCAAAAGAGTTAAAATATTCAGCATATAACATAAACACAAAAGTACATCAGGTCTCTCTACTAAATGAGAAAACACATAAACTTCCTTGAAGACAATAGGCTCCCAATAAATGTTATCTCACTTCCTTCCTTTCCCTCATTTCAACAAATGGTACACAGACAATGCCATCTCCACATATACAAATGACTCAATAGAAAAGAGCCACCATGAGCTAGAAGGTTACTACACATGTCTCATTAGCTAAACATCACATTAAAAAAATTATCACTTGAGGTCAGGAGTTCAAGACCAGCCTGGGCAACATGGTAAAATCTCTACTAAAAATACAAAAATTAGCCAGGTGTGATGATATACACCTGTGCTCCCCATACTTGGGAGATTGAGTTGGGAAGATTGTTTGAGCCGAGGGCGAGGCTGAAGTAAGCCATGATCATGCCAGCCTGGGTGACAGAGTAAGACCTGTCTCAAAAA